TTTCTTTAATTGCCCTATTTTATTTTTTCCTTTTTTTTTCTCCAACTATCTCGGAATCTCACGAGATAGCTGGGTTCCTGCCATTTCCAAAACCTTTTTTCTTTTATTTTTCTGATAAGGGGTTGGAAAGATACAACCCCTTACAGTTTGATGTATCTGGACCCTTTTCCCAGGGCAGATACATGGAGGAAAAAGTTGTACCTAGCCTTTTCCTTAGTGGCCCTTCAATTTCCAGGCTCCCTTAAAAAACGGGAGCCTGACAGTTACCTCTGGTAGCTTCTGCCGCACCACGTGAGGACAAGTGTCCTCACTCAAAATAAAGAAAAAAACAAACAAACTAACTTTCTAATTTTTATTGCACCTGGCTTCTTTCTTGGCCAGGTGCATGCTGTTGCATGCAACAGCCCTCTTCTTCTTGCTCTGCCCTCCCCTGAAAACGGGGAGGGCAGTTGTCAGTTTGGGAGGACCTCCTCCTCCCAATTCTCACGTTCCTCCCTCTCTTGTGTGTTCCCTCAGCCCCATCCCCACGCGCATGTCGTGAGCCGCGAGTTCTTGGATCTTGCGGCCACGAATTTTCGTGGCTTCTGAGTTGAGGGGTTGGGGTGTTCCCACACAGCCTGAAAAGGCTGTTCTTTTCTCCACGAGGTAAGTCGCCTCGTCTTGCTTTGCTTTTTTTTTTTTTTTTTTTTTTTTGACAGTTTTTAGTTTTTTTAAGTCTCAGCCCCCCCCGTTTTCCGAGTTTGGTCGAGCTTACAACAGTTCATGAACGGGGAAGGGAGAAAACGAAACAACAAAAAGAAAAAAAACTTCTGCATACCCCCATGTTCTGGGGGTAGATTCATTCTATCTGCCCATCCTCAGATGGGTTGTCGGGGTTCCAACCCCCTGATGAGTCGGTGGAAGTCCGACGAAACAGCCTGGCATAGTTCGGATCCCCCCCTTGTATCTTTCTACTCTGCGCCTGTACCTAGGCGCCATAAGCGCCAGGTTCAGGCACTTTAACGCTTAGCTATTGCCCAGACCATCGAGGTTCAACCTCCTTATGAGACGGTGCCAGTCCGACAAAACAGTCTGGCGCAGTCATGCTTCGACCCGTTCGTTCGAACGAACGGGTGCTCCAACTAAAAGACAAAAGAAGACGAAAAAAAAAGAAAAATCTAAACTAAATCTAGGAAAAAATCTAAAAGGAAAATCTAAGAATTTAAATATAAAAAAAACAGAAAAACGAAACCACCTTACCTGGGATAAAACGCGGCTGCCGCTTGAAAATGGGCGCCCTCTGAAACCTGCTGAGGACTACAGCCCTCAGCTCTCTCTCCCTGGGCGCCATCTGGCGCAGCCATATTGAAGCCGTTGGCTTATGCCAACGACAGGGGTTTTGTTGAAATACAGACCCGAGTTCGATTCCCTTCGGGGAATCGGAAATGTTTTTGGCCATTTCTCGATTTATGCGTGTCATCCTTGCGTAGGGGCCATGCTACCACCGCGCGGCCGTTCTCGACCGTGAGATCTGATGATCTCGCCGCTGAGAATGATCGCGCTTCATACGTGCGCAGTTGGCAGTTCCAAAAGAAACGTGGTTAGCCCATCCGCGTACCTCCAGGCTCGATCCCCAGGTCTGTAGGGTGAAGGTCAGATGGCGGTACCTACTGGGCTAGCTCCTATCACGGGAGCTAAGCCCGGAGCTCTTCTATATGAAGAGCTGCCTCCCTGTAGGCCCACCCGCCTTAGCTAAGCCAGGCTCGGCCTGCCTCGCCTCCAGCCTCGTCGCCCATTAACACGGCAGGCGGCCCAACTTCGCGGCTTGGCTTGGTGGCCCGCGGCTGTCCACGAAACAACATCAGGTCCTCCGTACGGAGAAGACCTCGTGGCCCGACCTTTTATTCCCTTCGCATCGCGGCCCAACATCTAGCGCAGCCACCTTTTCCAGCCTACTTAGAACCTGAATCGCGCGGCTGCGACATTTCCATGTCCGCACGTTCCTGCGGCTTCGACAAAAGCGAAGCATTGTCGTTCACATCCGTTAACCTCGGACGTCACACGCGTCCGGACTAAAGTCTGAAAACTTTTAGTTCCTTAGTCATAAGTCAGGTCTGACTAAACTTTTGGCAAACGTAAGTCTCATCAAGTCTTTCAACTTCGTAAAAAAGGTCAGACTACGTCCGACGTTGAAAAACCTCGACAAATACCCTTGTCAGGGTATTTGCCCCGACAACGCTATCTTGTACTTTGTGAGAGAGGTCGGTTCTTGTTATAGTGTGCACCGTTACAGTATGCAACAGTTTGGTATTGGAGCGGACCTCTCATTCAAAGGACCCGCGATCAAGTAGCCAGCTTGTTTGATCTATTGATTACTCATTAGTACATCAAGTAGGACTTCGTCAAATCTCAGAAATTTTTTTTCTCGCAACAATTATCTGAAAATTTCTGATAATCGCATTTTGTTTTACCTGAAATTTTTGATATTAGTATTTCGTTTTCACGCAACAAATATCTGAAAAGTTTTGATAATCGCAGTTCGCCGAAAATTCCTGATAGTAGCATTTCGTTTCTCTGATATTTGCATACATAGCTGAAAATTTTTGATGTTAACATTTCGTTTCTTAGGCGTATTAGGATAACGATAGAAGTGGTCATATTCTCGAAAATCGGATTTATTATTTTCGAAAATCGAATCTCCATTCTATCTCGCAAACTTTTTTGAAAACCGAAATCTTGCGAAGCCTACCAGCATTTCGTTAGGCATATTAGGAGGTTGCCATATCTCAAAAACTGGATTTAGTTCTTTTTCTGAAAATCGCATCTCTACTCTATTTCGCAAAAAAAAATTCAAGATCGCATTTTTGTAAAAGTCGAAACTTTGCGGAACCTAGCCTAAATCTCACACATAGTACTCTTCTGACATACCTCATCCATAACAGATCGACAAATATAAAAAAAAAAAAAGAAGGAAGTAGTCCTTTTTTTTATTGTTTTTTATTTATTTATTTGTTGATTAGGGCCGGGAGGAAAGTATTGTTGGGTTGGTTACCTACCTGCGTTTTCCCTCCCACCCACCCCTTTGCATGCATTTTCGGGTTGGTGCAGGGCCACGTCAGCAGTGCCATGTTAGCAATGCCACGTCAGTAGTGCCACCTCAGCAACAGTGCCACGTCAGCAGTGCCCCGCCACCATGATGGGCTCAGCTTTGGGCATGCCAGGCCAACTGGCCAACGAGTCCATTGCCGAGTACAAACAGCGGTTCTTGACTCAGCTCGCACTGATCGAGGCTGAGGAACAGCGCCAGGTGGCAGCCGAGGCTGTCCGCCTACAGGCTGAAGCGGCGACAACAATTGAGAAGCAGCGACTTCAAGCCGAAGCTGAAGAAGATACCCAGGCACGCCGCAAGGAGGCCCAGGATCTGCTACAACGGCATGAATCCACCAGCATAGAAAAGCTCAAGTTTTGGCACTTTGAACCATCCGAAGAGCACGATGACGCGACATCGGAAGAGCAGCACAAGGAATTCATGGCCAAACTCGTGACTAGGTTGGTTTACACTTGTAACCACCTGCAGTAGGAAGTGGCGAACCTCCAGCGGGTCGTACGGAACCACAAGGCTCAGCACGAGGATGCAACACGGGCACTTGATTCCCATGTACAGGACTTAAAGCAAACTGCACCAAGATCGGAGGCTGGCGAGTCCAGCAGTGCACCCTTTGCCCGCCAACTGGAGGAACGAGTTGACCACGTAGTCGCAATGCTCAGCGACATCAGTACCTTCGCTGCACCAGCCACCATCAGCAACCAGCTGGACACCTTAAAGACCGAGGTTCAACAACTACGGCTGCCTAACAAAGATGTCAACACCACGCAACATTACAAGATGCTGACATTCCAAATTGAGAAGTTCGATGATTATACGCATCAAGACCCGGTCCTCTGGTGGGAGGGCTTTACAACGTAACTTCGGATTCTGTTTGTCCCCAAGCACACGTACATCGGCGCGCTGTTTCTCAACTCAAAGGGCGGATGCCAGATCTGGTTGAGCCACCAGGCAACCGTCCACGGCGTCGACGTCGCAGATATAAAAGATAAGATCTCTTGGAAAGAGTTAACACGACTGTGGAAGAAGCGGTTCATTGTGGACGACGCCCCGACGCTCGCTATCAACCGCCTTTTCGCTATGACGCAAGGCAACACATCGACACGTGACTGGCTCACGGAATGGCAAAAGATCGCGGCAACGCCCGGTCTTGACTTCCCATTTTCGCATTTGCGCCGAGAGTTCTAAACCGGTCATGTGTCGCCTTGAGCCTTGCACTTGGTGATCGCGAGCAATACGCGACCTTTGCCGAAATCATCGACAAGGCAAGGGAGATCATCAAGACCAATAGGGCAGCTACACACGAGAGATCAGCATGGCAGCCAACCTATGTGGAGAAGGTGAAAACTGGTCCGCGGCCACAACATGTCGCTGCTGTCCAATCGGACAACACTGTGGAAGACCCGGCAGCCACCCAAGCGTCACGTGAGGGAGATCAGGTGGTTGCTGTCCAGTTGCGAAGCAACAACAAGTCCCGAAGGAACGGGAAGGCGAAAACTGCATCGCCGGCCGGAAACGGACAGCCAGCATCATGGGTCAAGTTTCACTTGACCGAGGCGGAATACAAGTGATGCGGCCGCTACGGCTGCTGCTATTGGTGCAACAACAGCAAGCACAAGACAAGGAGGATGTTCGGCCTCGTATCAACTCGGGAAACTGAGTTTCGCGGGAGGTGAGGCGACTCCACCTCTCACTCCGCCAGATTCGGCCGCCTTGCTAGCGGCCTCCTACACATCTGGGGAGGATGCGAATGTCGCAAGTTCTCGGTACACTTACGAGGACTATGCTGTCCACTTGGTCCCACCGTTGGACCAACCACTCCACGTGCAATAATCTACCGCATGCACAATTTCACTACCATCGGCAACCGAGTCGGCAGCTTCGCCGCCATCTATAGCCGGGGATTCGACGATATGGTCAAGACTTGAAGAGCTCGACCCGTTGACGTTTGCGGACTTTCAATGGATGCCCCTTCCCCGGTCCGGTCGATTGTCGAAACCGCATTGCAATGTTCTCATGGCACAACTGCTGGATTACTTGCATACTGCAGTACCAACTCCGTTGATGGACATCGGAGTAGAGGTTGTCGACCTTCACGACCTTCACGACTACATTGCGAAGATCGACCGCGAGTTCAAGACACAATGGTACGACGACATCGACGCACCATTGTTATATGTACGCATTCAGATCGGAGAGGCGACCTGCAGTGCTTTGATCGATTGCGGAGCATCTCGCAACTACATGAGCCAGGACTTTACGGTACATGCCAGGCTTGGCCCATGCGTCCGGAGGAAGTCCAAGTCTACGCAAGTCACGTTGGCAGACGGTCACACGCACAAGTCAATCGACCGGTGCATTGATGACGTTCCCGTGTCCTTTGCCCCTCATACAAGTGAGGCGGTGTCCTTCGATATTTTGGACACCAAATTCGACATGATCTTGGGCATGTCATGGCTGCGAAGTGAGGATCACCTGGTGAACTTCTACCGCCGCATCGTTCATGTTCGTGATCGGAACGGAGTACTAGTCCCATGCACGGTGGCTCCTCCTCACCCTTTGATCAGTTGCCACGTGGTGTCCGCCACAAGCATGGGAGCTTCCATCATCAGAGACGACATAGAGGAGATGGGGGGGTGTTTTCTCCACGCCCTCCCGCCCCATGACACTTCATCGACGGACTCATCTTCGGACCCACGCATCACCGAACTTCTTGACGCCTACGGCGACGTGTTCGAAGGCCCGCACGGAGTATTATCGGATCGGCCCATCCGCCACGAGATCATCCTCGAGGACGGGGTTGTACCTCCGCGTGGTTGCATCTACCGAATGAGCGAGGAAGAGTTAAGTGTGCTGCGGGCACAACTCGACGACCTTCTGGAGAAAGGCTGGATTCGGCCTAGCTCATCGCCATACGGTGCTCCTGTTCCCTTCGTCCGGAAGAAGAACAAGGATTTGCGGTTGTGCATCGATTATCGCAAGCGCAATGGGCAAACGGTCAAAAATGTCGGTCCTCTTCCACGCATCGATGACCTCCTCGAACGGCTGGGCGGTGCCAGGTTCTTCTCCGAGCTTGACCTCAAGTCGGGATATCACCAACCTGAGATTCGGCAGGAGGACCGCTACAAGACCGCGTTTAAGACACGATATGGGCATTTTGAATGGCTGGTTATGCCATTTGGCCTTATGAATGTCCCGGCCACTTTCCAAGCGGCTATGACAACGGAGTTCCGACACATGCTGGATCAATTCGTACTTATCTACCTCGAGGACATCCTGGTGTACAGCCGGAGTTTGGACGAGCATGTGGAACACCTGCGCACCGTTTTGGAGCGGCTAGGACAAGCCAAGTACAAAGCCAACTGCGACAAATGCGAATTCGCGCGGCAAGAGCTGGAGTACTTGGGACATTATGTGACGCCGCAAGGCATCCGTCCGCTTGCGGACAAGATCGAGGCCCTCCGCGTATGGCCCGAGCCCACCAACACCACGGACGTCCGTTCATTCATGGGGTTGGTGGGCTACTATCTGCGATTCATCACCGGGTACTCAAGGATTGTTGCGCCTATGACGAGATTACAATCGCGAAAGGTGCCATTCCTATTCGATGACGATGCACGCCGGTCATTCCAAGCACTTAAGACGGCCATGCTCATGGCACCCGTCCTTAGCATCTATGACCCCACCCTGCCTACGAGAGCGACAACTGATGCTTCCGGCTATGGCATTGGGGCAGTCTTGGAACAACACGACGGCGACGACTGGCACCCTGTGGATTATTTCAGCCACAAAGTGCCTCCCATCAGTTCACTTGATGATGCAAGGAAGAAGGAGCTGCTCACATTCGTGATGGCTCTCAAGCGATGGCGGCACTTCCTCCTTGGGCGTCTTAGGTTCACATGGGTCACGGACAACAACCCATTGACCTACTACAAGACGCAGGATACGGTGAGCAGCACGATCGGACGATGGATGTACTTCATCGACCAATTTGACTTCACATCGAAACATCTCCCCGGCCTCTCCAATCGCGCAGCAAATGCACTCTCGTGAAGACCTGATCTTTGCGCTATGACACATCATGCCTTCACATTCGACGAGGAACTCCAGCGACACTTCATCCGGGCCTATATGAGTCTGATCCGGACTTCGCCACGTTGTATGCGCAGCTATCTTCGGATCACCCGTCGGTCAGCCACTATCGCATTGTCGACGGGTACTTGCTCCTCCACTCGAGCGGCAAGGACTTACTATGTGTCCCACGAGACCGTCGTTTTCGGACTCGCATTCTCGGCGAGTACCATGACTCGCGACTCGCCGGCCATTTCGGAGTCAACCGCACTATTGCACGGCGTCGACAACGATTTCGCTGGCCTGACCTCATTACCGATGTCACTCGGTACTGCGACTCTTGCGAAGTTTGCCGACGCAGCAAGCCCCGCAACCGCAATCCCTACGGCGAGTTGCGCTCGATGCCTATCCCACGGGAACCCAGCCTCTCCATTGCCATGGATGTCACCAGACCATTTCCCCGCGATCGCCTCGGGCACGACGACATCCTCACGATTGTGGACCTTTTGAGTAAGTATGCACGTTTTCTCCCTTGCAAGTACTACTCCACGGCTCCCGAGTTGGCACGCCTCTTGCACACTGGTTGGATTTGCGGCCACGGTGTACCGGAAGACATAGTCAGCGACCGCGACACTCGCTTCATGTCGACATTTTGGACTGCTCTCATGTAGGAGTCCGGCACGAAGATGAAACCAAGTTCGGCTCGGCATCCACAGACGGACGGGCAAACGGAGCGGGCACATCAAACCGCTCAAATGATGCTTCGTACGCTCATCCGTCCGTACCAGAAAGATTGGGTTGATCGCCTCCCGGACATCGAGTGAGCCTACAACACTTCGGTGCACCCGGCGATCGGCGTGACTCCATTCGAGTTGCACCACGGTGGACGGAAAGGCCGTATCTTCGTCGACCTTCTCCTCCCACGACCAGCCGACATCGACGCTGCTTGCTCTCCCACTTCCGTCCGGAAGTGCAGGGAATTGTTGGCTCAAGCCCGCACGAACATGCAAAAGGCTCAAGCCCGCATGCAGCAGCAAGCCAACAGGCGTCGCGTGCCATGTCCCATCCGCGTCGGTGATCTGGTTTGGGTCTCTGTGGAAGAGTTTGCATTGGAACAGGATGTTTCACGCAAACTGCTTCCCAAGTGGTTTGGACCATGGCCCGTAACATCAGCCGCGGGCGATGAGCCCAATGGCCCTTCATTTGTGATCAACATCCCCTCGCGTCTGATGGTCCATCCAGTCTTTCACGCCTCGAAGCTGGCAACATATACACCAGCTAAGAGCGACGACTTCCCGGGCCGACAATCGCAGGACCCTCCATCTATGGATGGTCATCAGGAAGTTGACCGCGTCATCACGGATCGCAAGTGCGGCAGTAAGCCTCGAAAGTACAAAGTTACATTTAAAGCATGCGATCCCGACGACACTCGATGGATTTCAGGAACAGATTTGAAAGCATCCGCACCGCTGATCTACGCTCACTACGAGCGACAAAGGTTAGCTCAAGGAACTTCACGACCTGCCCCTCCCACCCGGACTATGGTCCCTCCCTCAGACAGACAGCTTCGCCCTCGCAGGTAAGCTCCGTCTTTCAAGGAGGGGGGGGTGTGGCATACTGCGTAGCCACACGGGCATGCAGGGCCCGTCCCGCATTCTCAGCCTAAAAGCCTAGAAATAAGGGCTTATAGGCCCCGTGTCGTTTCAACCTGAAAGACTGAAATGAGGGCCTGCAGGCCCTATGTCGTTTCAGCCTAAAACAGGGCTTTTCAGCCTTGAGGCTTTTCAGCCTGAAACGGAGGGCCACTTTCGGGCCCTCATAAGATCGACCTGCCCTAACACTCGGGCACAAAACCAGGGTTTTGCGAACAGGCTATTTTTGGCCTGTTCCCACCCAGCCTCAAGCAGGAGCTGCAGCGGCAGCCCCCGACTCCCTTCGGCATTGGCAAGAGCAGCCTCCTGGACTGCCTCGCCCTGCAGTCAGGAGGCAGGCCGAGTAGTACATAGGGAGTTCCCATGCACT